ACATACCACATCAACGTTTTCAATGCCCACACATAGGTTGTTCATGCACACACAACGTTGGTGAGGAGCTCTTGAGGCCTGCGCTCCATGGCCTGACCCGTGCGCTGGACGTAAGTCCTGTTTCTTTCCAGACGGTCCGCCAAACTCGCCCGGGTGCTGGTCGGCCACGTTTCCGCTTGCGTGTCTCTGAATGAACAGGGGCACGGCCAGGGGATGTGGAAGTGTGAGGGAGAGCCCTTGATTTTCTTTGGGGCGAGGCAACTGGGTGAGAGACAGGCATGACGGGTGAACGAGCTATTTCCTCGGCAGGACAGAAGCACACACACACACACACACACACACACACACACACACACACACACACACACACACGTACACACACGTACACATGTGCTGTACTCACAAGGTCGCCGCCACCCATGATTGGTTGTCGCTGTTGTCGCTGTTGTTGAAGGGGAACAGGAGGAGACACAGCGAAAGAGAATGAATGGCTGTTGTTGTTGCACGATCGCAGCAGTTGTGTGTGTGTGGTTTTGTGGGGTTGTTTTGAAGAGAGCAAAATTTCCCTCTCGCAACAAGCAAGGTTGTCTCCAATAGTATAGTGGCTAGTATCTCCGCCTGTCACGCGGAAGACCAGGGTTCGATTCCCTGTTGGAGAGCATCTGTTCTTTTTGTCCCCTTTTCTTTTTGCTGTTCATTCCACTTGCCCTTCCTTCCTTTTAGCCTTTTGCTTCTCGAGTCCTCTGTTTCATTCCCCAGCTGGCTGCCTCCTGCAGTCTTCACTCCCCCACAACAGCACAGTCATACAACAATGGACCATGTTGTATCTTGTGTCTTGTATTTTCCGCTGTATTGTGGTTGCCTGGCACTCGCCCCGTGTTCGCCTCTTGTCCTCTCTGTGGATGTGACATCTTGCGGAAATGAAGAAATGACAAGATACTCTCTCTTTCTTTGGTTCTTTACACTGGCATGCCCATGGCGGGAGATAACAGCCGTGGATGAGCACGGAGGAGAACAGAGCAGATTCTAGAGAAGGTAAAGGCAAGAAACTCAGAAAGGAATGTGCTGTGGCACGGGTCATTGCACAAACAAGATGAGGAGATGGAGCAGGGAGAGTTAACAGACCACAGCCCTACAGCCCATCCCACAGCACCACGAAGCGTGGCACAATCAACATGTTGTCCACAACAGAACGCAAAAACCTAATAACAGGGCGCATGCATGCATGCATCTATACATGTGCATTGTGCACACGAAAGTACGTGTGCATGCGCGTCCTAATAGCAACGACGCAGCCCAACTCAACACTAGGAGCAGTCGAGCGCTTCTGAAGATACAGCGTCAGCGGCAGTGGCACGCGTGAACGTGTCCAAGCACCAGTCGAGACGGGGATGCTTGATGGCTTTTCTGCCACGGGGCTCCCCGAACCCGCCCTTCGACCTCGAGCTGCTGGTGCGAGAAGCGCCGTAGCAGTGGCCAACCCAATCGCCCATGTGCCACATTGTTGTCGACGGGGTGGACGGGCTCACGTCCTTCTGGCCATACCCGTGTGAGTTCATCGCCCTGTCAAGTGCATCACAACAACAAAGGGCAATGCGGTGCGTGTGAACGTGAGATGTTGTTTGTATGCTGAAGATCAGACATTGCTACCTGCAGCAATGCGAGCTACAGACCTGCAGTGTCTGCACTGAGCAACATGATACGACACACACACACACACACACACACACACACACACACACACACACACACACACACATGGTGCCCACCTCGGCCCGAGGGAGGCGACGTGGTCCGCATACCGCTCCAGCAATACGCTCATTGGAGTCTGAATGGGGGGGGGGGTGCAATCCAAACAGTCAAGTGACACGCACACATGATGGTGGTGCGAGAGTACGACATGAACGCAAGTCACCTCGCGAACTGTGCGCACGATGGCGTGCGTCTGTGCGTGTGGTGTTTGGGCAGACCTGGTCTGAGCGGGTGATTGGGTCAGCTAATGTGGCGTCGTCTGGTGTCAGTATGCCGGCGGCCCAGGCATCCTATCACGCAGATGCAATGTGCATGGCATGAGTTTTCGGGGACAGGACCTGTTCAGATGACACTACAAAGATGGCAACCCGCCTTACCCCCAACCAACGAACCACAGCATCACATGTAGCGCGTCCAATTACCAGTGGGAATTGATGGTTAAATGTCGCTGCGTTCTTTGGATAAGAGAAGTGAAGACGAAACGTCTCACTTGCCCTGGCACTCATCAGGTGGTCCGCGCGCACCCACGCCCGGGAGAACGGGGTCAGGACATCCGGCGATGGAACACTTGCCCTACAGCCAGCAGCACGGAGAGCAAGTCTCAGTCGTGAGCAATTTAGCTGTCAACCAGTGGATGCAGTCCAGTGCAGTGGGTGCAGTCCAGTCTAAACAAGCAGTGCCGCACACGTGCATGGAGCAATACGAGCGTGCAAATGCCTGCATGCACGCACACACACACACGCGTGCACACACGCACACACACACGCACACACACACACACACACACACACACACACACACACAGTATCACATACGCAAACACTTCTTACACGGATGCCTGCAAGCAGGCACAACGCACGTCAATGCGCACACATGCACGCACCTGATCCAATCAAGCATGAAGCGTCTCCCAACTGCGTCGTTGCGAACGATAAAGACCCCAGCATTCACAGTCCAGACCTTGTCGGGCAGCTTCTCCACTGGCACATGCAGCCAGTGGTCTGGCTCAGCGTTCTCCTGCTCCTCATCGAACATCTGCGTGATGCTGTCGCAGGACGTGACAGATGGAGGCGGCGCCACGTGCGCGTGCTTGCAGTCGGCGATGAACTGCACAAGGCGCTGGAGCTCCTGTGGCGGGAGTTTCATGCCTTGAAATCGGGTGGAGACCGGGTGCAGCGACACCAGCACGGATGCGTGGGGATGGCGTGCCAGCACGTCCTCCACGCGGATGTCGAGGTTGGTGTGAAACGCGTCCAAGTCCGTGAACATGATCGCCTCGAGGGAGCTGCTTTGTGGAGAAGCGAACATGTACTCCACCACAGACGCGCCCTTGAGCCAGGACCCCGAGAGACGAAGTCTCGAGTAGATCTGCTGTGCATGGGATGCGTTGTGTGCTGCGCGGTTGGCGGTCCGATGCAGCAGCTCGTCCACCTCGTCATCCGTGCTGGTGATGCCCCCGAGCGTGTATGCGTACCCGTGCCTATCAGCATAAGCCTTCATGTTTGCACGCTTGGCGTCAACGAGCCGTGTGGCAGGGTGGTTGTAGGAGAAGTGCGCATATGAAACGAGGGCAACGCGAGCGCCAACAATTGCGCTTCTTTCCTGGCGACTGTTGTGCATTTGACCGCCTTGCCTTCTGCTGGTTCTGCTCAGCAAACTGCCACGATCCCCGGTTCTTTGTTGGGGCTGCTGTTGCCGCTGCAGGCTGGCAGGGTCTGCGACAGTGAGGCTCAGTGCCGACCACACCAGGTACACGGCCATGCATCCTGCCGCAGCCAGCGCGGCTCCAATCCAGGGCGACCGCAGCAATCGACGCGTCGCGCTCATGGCGAACAAGGCAAACCTGCCCCTATTTGCGATTCGCCAAAGATACCGTTAATAATCGACTGTCGGCGCCCAACATCCACCGACCATCATTCACCACCATCAACCACAACACGTGTGGACTGGCGAGGAGATGGCATCTACAGAGAAGCTGGCAGCACGTATGCATACGTGTGCGTGTGTGCGTGTGTGCGTGTGTGCGTGTGCTGTGGGAGAATGTTCAAAGAGAGGAAGAACGAGCAACTGAAGGAAGCTGTGACGTGTACCGTGTGTGTGTGCGTGAACATCGTGATGGGGAATTGTCGTGGATCTGGCGTTGCATGCGTCCGCCGCAATCGACAATGGTTTTGATTCCCGATCGCACTCCCACCACTTGGTTGCCCGTTCCCATTCAGTGCTGCCGGACCAAGATGAAGACTCTGTGGAGTACCTTGCAAGCATGCTTGAGGATTACAGCATTGAGGCTGATGATGACATTCTTGGGTAAGTGGTCGTGTGCCACGGTGTCCTACCGCTCCTGTCCAAGATCGCAGACAGCTACGTCACCACCCCAAACGCGTAAGACACGACCTCACAAAGCATCGTCATCACCTGCATATGTGTGATTGCCTTTGTTGATGTCACAGCTTCCTCGAGGACATGATTGGCGATGAGACTGAGGCAAAGGATTGCTTCCACAAGATCAAGTATGTGTATGTATGTATGTGTATGCGTGTGCGCGCGCGTGTTTGTGTGTGTATGTGTGTGTGCGCGCGTGTGTCGTGTGCGTGTGTATGTGTGCGTGTGTGTTGTGCGTGTGTGTCGTGCGCGTGTGTATGTGTGTGCGCGCCTGTTTGTTTGTGTGTGTGTGTATGTATGTATGCGTGTGTATGCGTGTGCGTGTGTGTGTGTGTGTCGTGCGTGTGTGTTTGTATGTGTTTGTAGGTGTGCAATCGCGTTGAATAGCACACAGGTAAGCCCCCTCCCCCCTGTGAAAGCCAGCTGTCAAGATGATGCCTGTGCTCTGACCCTTCAACTTGCGCGACACGTTCAGGCGTGATGTGCTGAAAGTGGAAGGCGCTGACGGAGCCGATCAAGAAGATGATGGCAAGCGGGGCACGCTCCTGAACAAACCTATCATCATGGCGAAGGTACACCGTCAACAACCGTTGTCAACCACATCATCATATCTCAGAAGCGCAACATGTGTTTGGCGTGTGCGTGTGTGTTTGAGTGTGTGTGTGTTTGCAGATGCATGTGCGTGCAGGCGCGTACTAATGTGTGGATTGCCTGATTGGCGTTTGTTAGGCCGCAGAGGAGCACGAGGCGCGCTTCAAGGATGCGTCCAACATCTACTTTGGCGAGTGAGTGCGAACACCGACTGTACACATCCAATCGATTGGCCTGCACCGAGCCATGTCGCCACAAGGTTGATTCTGCCGTGTTCACGCGTGCCACACACACACACATCCTTGTTTAATCATGGCGTTGACGATGACCGCAGGACGGTGGTCAATGTTAACTCGACCATCCCATCTTGGAAGGATGCGGAGGAACCTGAAATTGACATGGTATACAAACATTAGCTGTCGGTTGTGTGTGTGTGTGTGCATTTGTTTGTATGTGCGTCTGTGATACTCTCGGGATCATAACCACAACTGCTTGATCTCACCACGTGTGCTGTGCGCGTTTGCCAGTCTCCCGAGGCGATGATGGCCCGGGCAAAGGCAAAGAAGAAGGACGCGAAGGTAACCAGCCGTTGCTGTATCGCTTGCAAGCGCAGCGCCAACGCAGCAGTGCACACTACCCCATTCACACATGTGCGTGCTCACGTATGTGTGCGTGTGTATGTGTTGTGTGTGCGTGCACGTCACAGCGGGAGAAGAAGCAGTTGAAGCGGGAGCGCGTGGTGGCGCCTGTCCGCACGGCCATCTTGGAGAAACTCACGCAGAAGCCCGTCGTCATCCACCAGTACGTGCACAACCGAACTCGCATGTGGACGTGGTGTGCCTGTCTCCGTGGTGTTGGCGACAGGATTGTGTGCCTCATGCGCTGACGTGGCTGCCGTTGTGCGTGTACATGTGTGCGTGTACATGTGTGTGTGTGTGTGCGTGTACATGTGTGTGTGTGTGCGTGTGTGGCTGCAGCGTGCTTGGTGAGGACGGGTCGTACGGCGGATCTCCGTGCGTCGACATTGTTATGAAGAGCATCAATATCGACCTTGCCGGCATGCACATCCTCGCAGATACGGACCTCACTCTCGTACGTGACGCACCCGTCAAGTGTGGATGTGGACATATATATACACACACATATATACACACACACATGTACACACGCACACGCATATACACACGCACAACGCACGCGTCTTACCTGCACAGACCATGTGCTGCAGCTCTGCTCTTACCTGATGTGCTGCTTGGTGTGTGGTGCTCCTCGGCGACAGGTGTATGGGCGAAGGTATGGGCTCATTGGGCGGAACGGTATTGGCAAGACAACGTTTCTCAAGCATCTTTCTGCAAAGGGTGAGTGTGCACCATCGTGTGCGTGTGACTCCAGCGTGTGGCGTGTGGCGTGTGGCGTGTGGCGTGGCTGTCTACGTGCGTGCGTGTCTGTGATGTGATCTTCGCCACCACCGCCACCAACCCGCGCTGCGTGCAATTGCAGTGCTGGATGGCGTGCCATGGTATCTCCAGATCCTTCACATCGAACAAGAGGTACCAGGGTTGATGCTGCTGTAGCCATGCTTGTGTTCCATCACGCGTGGACATAGTGGTTCACACACTTTCGTGTGTTTGCAAATGTGTGCGTGTGTGTAAATGTGTACGTGCGTGTGTGTGTGTGAATGTGCATGTGCATGTGCACGCATGTGCACGTGTGTGTGTGTGCAAATGTGTGTATGTGTAAATGTGTACATGCGTGTGTGTGTGTGCGTGTGTGTGCATAATTTGCCTGCTGTGCTCCCCTCACCCTCTCCAACGTCATGTGCACGACGTGTCGCGCCATGCAGGTTGCGGAGACGTCCAAGACGCCGCTGCAGATGGTGCTCGAGACGGACGAGGACCGCGAGCGGCTGCTGCGCGAACGCGTCTGCATCGAGAAGGTCCTCAACGGCGGCCTCCCCTCTGTCGAAGGTGCGCCCGCCCCTGGTTGCAGCCGGCATGGTGGTGGTTACCTTATATCTGGTGGTGCTGACCCACAAAACAGCTCATGGTGCGTACACGATGGCACACATCGATCTGTACTAATGCCCACACCAACATATATGTGTGTGTGTGTGTGTTCAGAGACGGAAGAGTTTGGCATCAAGGCCGGGGATGCGCCGATTGATCGACTGCAGGCCGTGTACGACGAGCTGGAGGAGGTGAGCAGGCCACTGCAGCCGGGGTTGCACGTGCATGCCACACCCATGACCTCTTCCATCCAAAACTGCAGCACTCAACACCACTGCCACTCATCCACTCACATCCGCCTTCTTTGGTGCCCGATTGTGTGACGTGTGTCAGATTGACGCTGACGAGCAGCCGGCTCGCGCCGCGCGCATCCTCGCTGGTCTCTCGTTCACCCCCGAGATGATGCGGAAACCAATGAAGGTCGACACTCGCCAGCGATAGCGTGACGGCGGGATGATTGTGGAATGGCAGACGCGGCGGCACGCGTCCAGTGTATCCCAACATCGATCACGTGTGCTGATAAACCTCTCCATTCAACACTCTAACGTGCGTGCGTGCGTGCGTGTGTGTGTGCATGTGGTTGTCAGGAGTTCTCTGGTGGCTGGCGGATGCGCGTATCCCTCGCACGTGCGCTCTTCATTGAGCCCGACGTCCTCCTCCTTGGTTCGTAACACAGTACGCATGTGGCGCAACATGCACATGTGGACACCTGCTGCTTTGTATGTATGCTTTGTGTGTTTGTGTGTATGTGTGTGTGTGCGTGTATGCTTTTGTGTCTTGCGCCTTGTGTGCGTGTGTGTGCGTGTATGCTTTTGTGTCTTGCGCCTTGTGTGTGTGTGTGTGCGTGAGTGTGTGCATGCGTTTGTGGTGCTTAGTTGTACTCGCGAGGATGTAACGTTACACACCCTTTCATGTAGACGAGCCTACCAACCATCTTGATCTCCACGCTGTGCTGTGGCTGGAGAACTACCTCAAGAACTACGAAAACACCGTCGTTATTGTGCGTGAACACGAGAGAAAGAGACAGAGGCAGAGAGTATGTGCGCTGGTGTGCGTGTGCGTGTGTGTGTGTGTGCCTTCTGTACTTTGTGTACGCGAATCTGCTGTGGTTTCCAGTTGTTGTGGTCTACAGCTGCAGTCATTGCCTTGTCCCGCCCATCTCACTCACATCGATCGCCCAAACGTGCTGACAACCGCGTGTCTTGCCAGGTGTCGCACGCGCGAGGGTTCTTGAACGAAGTGTGCACCGACATTCTGCTGATGAAGGATCACACCATCAAGCGCTACAAGGGCAACTACGACACGTTCGAGGAGACAAGGTGCTGCGCGTGTCTGTGCTGTTGTTTGGCTGCATCCGCCTCTTCCATGAATGTGTTTGGTGTACGCCTGCGTGCATGAGTGTAAGTGTGTACATATGTGTGCATGTGTGCGTGTGTGCGCGTCGTTTGCCTCCACCCCATTACTCACCATAAATCCACCATTCCCCTTCCAAACCGCCCATCCATCCACTCATCCATCCATCCATCCATCCACTCATCCATCCATCCATCCATCCATCCATCCATCCATCCATCCATCCATCTGTGCACAAGACATGAGGAGCAGCAGCGGAATGCGCGCGCCCGCGAATCGGCGGAGAAGAAGAGGGCCGAGCTCGAGTCGTTTATTCGGAAAAACATCGGTGGAAACGCAAAGGTGGGGAGCACACGCTCTGGGGATAATTGGGCTTGCTCCGCCACAGTGTGCTATGCGTATGTGTGTGTGTGTGTGTGTGTGTGCGCACGCGTGCGCGTGTTTGCCTGTGTGCCTGCCTGCCCTCGCCTTATTCACCATCACCTCACCCAACCTCCTCCACCACCGCCGCCGCCACCACCTCTCCAGGGCGCGTCGATGGCCAAGTCGCGGCAGAAGCAGCTGGAGAAGATGGCAGCAATCCCGGACTCCGGCAGCATCGACCCTGCCGTGCGATTCGCCTTCCCAGAGGCCGGTCCGTCTGCCCGCACGAATAGAGGCACTGGAGTGCAGTGGAGAGATGGGGGGGGAGATGTGGGGTGGTGGAGAGGTGTATGTGGGATGGTTGCATGGGACTGTATCGTTGTGCCTGATGCTGCTGCTGATTTGGAGAGTGGACATGAATGGGGGCTGTTCATGACATCTTCCATCGCTGTTGCTGCTACATTGCGCCTCACAAACCGTAACCATCGCCACCATCGCCACCACGACTGCAGGTCCTGTTGCTGGCGGATTTGGCATCCGGCTTGTTGGCGTCAGCTTCCACTACCCTGGCGGGCCCACGCTCTTCAAGGGGGTTGACTTCAGCATCAACCAGGTTCGATGGCGCGGGAGGACCGAGGGGCGGCGGCTGCTGTTGCTGGCATGTGTGCCGTGTTGTGTTGTGTATGTGTGTGTGTGTGTGTTGTGCGTGTGTTGTGTTCTATTGTATTGCGTGTTGTGTGTGTGTTGTGTTGTGTTGTGTTGTGTTGTGTTGTGTTGTGTGTGTGCGTGTGTTGTTTGCTGCGTCGCTCTTGTCGCGTTACGTTTGGTTGACGAGCCGCTTACGCTGTCGCACCGCTACCTCCTTCCAACTGCACCACCGCAGAACTCGCGCATCTGCCTGGTTGGTCCCAACGGCATTGGCAAGTCGACGCTGCTGAAGATTGTGTACGAGGAGCTTGAGCCCGTTGAGGGAATGGTGACCCGCAACCAGCGACTGCGCGTTGGCCGGTTCAGCCAACACCACGTCGACACACTGCAGACCGCAAAGAGCCCCGTCGAGCTGGTGTGTGTGTGTGTGTGTGTGTGTGTGTGTGTGTGTGTGTGTGTGTGTGTGTGTGTGTGTGTGTGTGTGTGTGTGTATGCGTGTATATGTGTGTGTGTGTGCATGTGTGTGTGTGCATGTGTGTGTGTGCATGTGTGTGTGTGTGCGTGTGTGTGTGCGTGTGAGTGTGTGTGCGTGTGTGCGTGCGTGCGTGTGCGTATGTGCGTATGTGCGTGTGTGTGTGTGTGTGTGCGTGCGTGTGAGTGAGTGTGTGTGCGTGTGAGTGTGTGTGTGTGTGTTCGTGCGTGCGTTGTCTGGTTTCGCTGACTTTCCCTTGTTCCACCACATCCTTCTTCTCTACCCACATCCCCCTTCCTCCTTCAGTTCCAGGACAAGTACCCGACGCATCCGCCGCAGAAGATCCGCAAACACCTCGGCGGCATGGGCATCATTGGCGACCTGCAGCTGCGCCCCATCAACACCCTCTCTGGTGGGCAGAAGTCGCGTGTTGCGCTCGCGAGCATCACGTACGAGGCCCCGCACCTGCTCCTGCTTGACGAGCCCACGAACCATCTCGACCTCGACACCGTACAGGTGAGCAGGGGCTGGTGCCATGCATGTGCTATGGATGGGCGGTGATGCTGAGCATGAGCGAACAGCGTGTGTGTGTGTGTGTGCATGTGTGTGCGCATATGTGTGTGCATATGTGTGTGCGTGCGAGAGAGTGTGTGTACAAATGTGTGTGTGTGTGCATGCGTCTAAAAATGTGCGCGTAACCGTATCTTGATGCACGGCCACAACTTTGCTGTGCACCAGGCGCTGATCCGGGCGCTTGCGGATTACGACGGCGGCGTTATGATCGTTTCCCACGACGAGCATCTCATCAAAGCCGTGAGTGGTGTTGCTGGTGCTGCTGGTGCTGCTGTTGCTGCTGTTGCTGTTGCTGCTGTTGCTGGTGGTGCTGGTGGTGCTGTTACTTGTGCTGTGTTGTGGCTTGATTGCTTGCTCGCTTCCTTGATCATTTGTTGGCTCATGCGCATGTGCTGGTGTTTACAATGACCGTGTGGTTGTGTATGTGTGTGCAATATGTTGTGTGTGTGTGTGTGTCACCAGGTGTGCGATGAACTTTGGATCATTCGGGACAAGCAAGTGATCCTGTCCAAAGGTGCGACTTCCCACAGTCGTCGTTGATAAAGACCATGAGCACGCACACATACACACTCACACATGCACACTCACACATGTACGCTCTCACACTCTCACACTCACACTCACACTCACACTCTCACACATGCACACTCACATGTACGCTCTCACACATGCACACTCACACACACACACACACACACACATTCACATGCATACACGGCAGGCGATTTCGACGATTACAAGAAGAGCATCCAGGAACAGTTCAAGCAGAAGGAGAAGAAGAAAAAGAAGAACTAACGCAACCATCAGCATCACACGAGCACACACACACACACACATATTCCTCACTAGACATGCTGCATTTGCTGTTTACTGTTGTGCGTTGTTTACATTGCAAGCCAATGACAATCACGATGCGTGCACGCACACTAGTAACACGCATGCACACACGCACGTGCCAAGTTTGCGTTTTCAGGAGAGTAACGATGGCGAGTAGACAGTGTTTCGTTCTCCTGTGGTGATCAATCCTAACGCTAACCTGTGATCGAAAACGAACAACACACAGTCGACACGAGCAGAGTCAGGCAGGACGGAGCAGCGCGCACGCACGCACACACACACACACACACACACACACTCGCACACATGAACATGAACATGAACATGTACACACACACACCTCACACATGAACACTCACACTGACATGAACATGTACACAACACACACACACACATGAACATGCACACTCACACAAACACATGAACATGCATGCACACACCTCACACGTGAACACTCACGCCCACATGTGTTCAACCACACCACCACGCTCATTACACACCTTCGCTGTAACGTTGCCGTGAAGAGTAGTTGGCAATCAATCCCCAACATCCATGTCACCGTCTCCGAGTTTGAACAACTGCATTGGCAATGCAGCGATCGCATTTCGTCACGTGGATGAGACGGCACAAGATGTACACTCCTTGATTGCAGTGCAGGAGATCATACGCACGTTGGCAGACACATGTCGACAGAGACACACACGAACATGTGCACACATGACACACACAAGCACGCACGCACGCACCACTGAGAAGCAGAGGACGAGTGCTGCTGTTCCCAGTACATCACCCAGCGCCGTCACCAGCGGGATGGCAATCTGACATGAGCGATGAAGGCAGGAAGCGCGTGGTGTGGGCGGTGGCATGAGGTGGTGAGAACAACAAACCAAGCACACACATTCACACACACACACACACATTCACACGCACACAGCAATTTGTACAGCACGTGGTACCTGATCGGGATCAACTTGCTTTGACCAGACAAAGGCGACGAGCTTGTGCACAATCACAAGCAGTAACAACACCTGAAGGCACCGAGAATGAGGGAAACGAAAGCCAATTGTGAGTGCAAACCCAACATAAACCCGGAATACAGCGCCTTTCCCCACATATGAACACATGCGTGTTGAGAGAGAGACACGCACACACACACACACACACACACACACACACACAAATACACACACATACACCCAAGCAAGCAAACAAACAAACAAGCAAGCAAGCAAGCAAACACAGAGACAACGGACCTGCGCCATGGCGGCGAGAGAATAGCCGATGACGAAGAAGAGGGTGATGGACGTGTGCCCAAGCTGAAACGCATTGACGAAGACCATGAAGAAGAGAGACACGGGCACGACATACGCAAACAGAACAACAGCGGCGCGCACGTGATTCTCCCTGAGTTGCGACGTGTGACCGTTCCAGTGATGGCGGTGGTGTGACATGATCATGCATGGAACAGAAAAGGGGTGAGTTGCATGCGCAGGAGAGTTGGACAAACGCAAGCCAAATGCACACACACACACACACACACACACACACACACACACACACACACACACACACACACACACACACACACCAATACATGCATGCGCATGCATGCAAAACGAGAGAGGGAGCAGTGAGCCACGCACCGGGTGCGCATGTGAAAGGAAGTTGAGATGCGTGCTGCCTGCACGCTGGCGAGATTGCCCCCAACACCATTGATGAGTGGCGCCAACACTGCAATGCCCTGGAAATTCGTCACAAAGCGCTCGAGAATGATGCCCGCCTGAACGCCGACAGCACACGCGTGGCATTGTGTGTGTGCGTGTGTGTATGTGTGTGCATGTGACTGCGAGAAAGAGAGCGAGCGAGCAAGAGCGAGCAAGAACATGCAAGAGCATGCACGCCTGGGCACATGCGTGTGTGTGTGTGTGTCTGTCTGTCTGTCTGTTTCAACGTACTACGGAGGAGATGCACATGGCTGCAAGGATGGATCCCCACGCCAGCCTGGAGTGCCAGCATGAACGTATGTGCATCAATATCATCTGCTCAAGCACAGTTACATCAAATACATGCATGCTTTGATACACATGCATACGTTGACACACGCACACACATACACACACACACACAAACCCGGCTACGCACCTGTCTTTGAGAATGGCGTGTTCGGTTGGTCGCTTGCGCACTTCATTGTAGACAAGTGGAAGGATAACAAGGAGGAAAAATGCACACACGAGTCCAGACGTGCCGCCCTGCTGTGTGTGCACACGCGTTGACATGTGTGACATGCAAGCACGCACGTGAGCCGAAGCCGGAAGCAACACAGTGCCAACTCAGCACAACCAAACGCACACACAACACGCAACACACACCCAAGGCCCCTTCCCTCCCCCCCCCCCACCCACACACACATACACGCACACACAACACAACACATGCACACACAAAACCACGCATACAACAGCACACAGCACATGACAGCACACGACAGCACGCACCGCGGAGGGTCCGGTTTGGTAGAGGAGAGAGCCGACATATGCGAGGATGGCAAGAGTGACAAGATCGCCAAGAGCAGCGGCAATGGGGGTGGCCACGTTGTCTGGGTTGATGTTGTGGCGGTGGCTGGCAATGACAATTGCGCACATGATGGTACCAAGCAGCAGACTGGCGATGGAGGCCGTGGTGATGCTGGCGGCGGCGATGAGCAGGGTGTCGCTGATGCTGAACTCCTGGTGGAAGATGATCCCGAGTATGACGCTCATGATGGAGGCAGCAAGGGCAACCACAAGACCCTGACACTGAATCAGCAGCAGGTTGCTGTAGGTAGTGGACCAGGCCTTGTCGCCCGATAGCTGGTGTGCGTGTGCGGCTGTGGATAAACGGGACGCAAGCACCATCTCCAGGTTCCCCTTGAGCCCCAACAACGACGGGCACAGGATGAACATTTCCGAAATGCCGACAAACACGGGCCAGTGCTGCAGTCGAGGCATTACGCGTGTGTTGTGCATGTGAATAGTGGGCAGCAGGCAGCGGGCAGCGGCGTATGTCGCTGTGTTGCTCATGTGATAGCGGATGTCCCAAGCGTTGAATGTTGTGCGCCCATGCAATCGCACACGCACACTCACACACACACACACACACACATATACACACACACACACAAAGGTTTCGTCCACACACACATATGCACACGCGCAAACACTACACACACACACACACACGCAAGGTTACGTTTCACACACACACACACACACACCTGGACAATATCGAGGAGGGCACCTGCAGCAAGCATCCCAAGGCCTGACATGACGAGGGAGGGAAGCACTTGTGCGCTGAAGCTGAGGATGCTCTGGTTGTGCTCCGCTGTTCTAACGTTAATGGTACCTTCCTCCACCACGATTCTGCTGTCTGGCGGTGGCTTGAGTGGCTCGTGGATCGATGATGTGGAGGACCGCTCAGATCGGAGGCGGCTGCGGTGGCCGTTGCCAATGCTGCTGCTGCAGCCACAGTCACCGTGATGCAGACACTGCGTGTTGTGACCTCCTTCTTCTTCGCCTGCTACCGGGAGCCTTCCGTTTTCTCCTGTGCCCTGCATTGCGCCATGGTCCTCCCTCATGCTTCATTCACCACTGCCGACGACAGACAGTGTTGAGAAGAAGATGAACGAATGACGTCACACGCGCTCTACAGTGAACGCGCACATGTACCTGTCGTGAGAGACTGAACAGGAGGCGGTGGTGGCGAGAGGGGGAGAAGAGATGGTGAAGTACGTGAGGGTGAAGAGAGCAAAGGTGGTGGTAGGTGGGAGCAAGTATGCGAGTGTGGTGTGCGTCAAGCATCTCTTCGCCAACCAACCAAACAACAACGATAACAATAGCGGAGACTGAATTGAGTGATTTTGTCTCTTCAACTGAATTCAGTCGAGGTACATTTCCAGTGCACGAACGCAACGAACGGCTTTGTTGCTTTTGCTTTTGCTGCTTCTCTCATCAAATCACAAACAGTCACCACCACCAGCGATACCAACGATAACGATCTTGCCTGAGCAGCACCACGACGACCAAGACACCGAGAAGACCCACACACCACCAACAGCACACACGCACACAAATTCACACATACAGGCACCATGGCGACAATGATGGTTGCTGCTCGCCGCGCTGTGCGCGCAGCCGTTGGCGCACGCCGTCTCATGTCTGCTCATTCGTTTGACATCACGTCCACGGCCGACTTCAAGTCCCGCGTGCTCACCTCAGACACGCCAGTCCTCGTCGACTTCACAGCCGCGTATGTGTGTGCGTGTGTGTGCATGAAGAGTGGGGTGGATTGAAGGGCTTTACATCGTGCGTGCGTGTTTGTGTGCATGAAGAGTGGGGAGGGCTGAAGGGCTTTACATTGTGTGCGCGTGCGTGTGAGCGCGCAAGCATGCCGACATCCCCACCGCATGTCCTTCTCTTCCCTCTCCCCCCCCCTCTCTCTCTCTGTTGGTTTGGTTTGCTTTCCATGTGTCTCTGCTTGTTTCATGTCTGTAACTGTGCCAGAACTCACGCCCATGTTCTCTGGCATCATTTTTTTTCACTCGCACAGCTGGTGTGGCCCATGCCGCATGCTCAAGCCCATTCTTGAGAAGGCAGTCGCAGATCAAGACGGCAAGGTGCATTCTGTGTGTTCTGTGTATTGTGTGTGAGTGTATGTGTGTGTTCTGTGTGTGGGTAACTTTTGTTTTGTGCACGTGGTGTGTACTGTGTATTGTGTGCATGTGTGCATGTGCTTAATGACAACCGCGCGCATGCACGTGTGCATGCATGCATGCATTGCCTGTCGATTTCTTGACGCTTACGTTGTGGCTCATCCATCTTGATACACATCACACCCTGCACACCCTGTGCGCCAGGTTCTCCTTGCAAAGGTTGACGTTGATGCCAACAGCGAACTCGCTCAGGAGTTTCAGGTAACGCGCGCTGTGTGTGCGTGGGTGATTGGGGTGTGAGTGCCAATGCACGCGTGTGCGTCAATACGTTTGTTTTGTGCATGCCCATGTTGCTTCTGTGTCTGTGTCATTGCGTGTTTTGTCTGTGTGTCACTGCGTGTTTTGTGTGTGTGTGTGTGTGTGTCTATGGGTGTGTGTGTGTGTCTATGGGTGTGTGTGTGTGTGCAGTCCATTGACTGGTGGTTGTGTTGGAAACCTGTCGTCACCCTCCCCGCCCCTCACACTTCCTGCTCCGCGTCGTCCGTCTGCTCTTCCTCGTCCGTGTAGATTGCGTCTGTGCCCACGGTGCTTGGCATGAAGAACGGCGCTGTCGTCAACGGGTTCATGGGTGTGCAGGTATGCAACATGCACACAACAACCACCGTCGTGTCACACATGCATGATGCACGCCATGTTGCTGTTTGCACCTTGCTATGTTCCTGCCTTGGTTCACCCCACCACCAGCACCATCTTTTCACCCCACACACCTTGCCTCACGTGTACCTGCGCATCTGTCTGCGTCTCTCTGTGTGTGTGTGTGTGTGTGTGTGTGTGTGTGTGTGTGTGTGTGTGTGTGTGTGTGTGTGTGTGTGCATCGCTCTGTGTGTGTTTCTTGCTACAATTTTCGCTAGGATGCCGCCGGTGTGAACAAGTTCATTGTGGACCTCCTTGACGAGTGAATGTGAAGTTGTCGCTTCCACTCACTGTATCGTGTTCTGTCCGTGGTTATTGTTTGTTTGTGTGTGTGTGTGTGTGTGTGTGTTTGTGTGTGTGTACTGCGTGTCCTTGTCTGTGAGAGAGCCTCGACTCCTAAATCCTTTCACCACCAATTGAACAGTGGTACTGTGTGAACGACCATCTCACGACGCCAAAGCCAAGTCCAGTCCAAGCGCTCAACACAAATCAAATCAAACACGACGCACAGCGCCGTGATCTTGTTGTTGGCGATTGTGAATATGACGACAATAAATCTTTCGTGGATGGAAGCGCGCCAAAAAACCGCCAAAGACGCAAACGCGAACAAGGACCACCACTACAAGCAGCAGCCAACCACACACACACAAGCACTCACACACACACACAAGCACTCACACACACACACACACACACACACACACACACACACACACTCACACAACATCACACACATCACTGGGCATCATGAGCGACGGTGATTTTCCACAACTGCTGCAGCAGGTGAGTTGGAAGGGCAAGGGTTGTGTGCAATGCTCATCATGCCTCGTTTTCATTTCTTTGTGTTTCTCCTTTGGCTTTCGCCGTGCCCACTCACACTCTTAGTTGTCGGCTCGCAACGGAATCGTTGACAGTACTACGCGCGGCTGTTCCCGTACACAAAGTACTTTCGATGGTTGTCGTACGGAAGCACAGACAAGGTGTTCCAAAACAGGGAGTTCTCCTTCACCCTCAAGGATGACGTGTACGTGCGTTACCAAAGCTTCACAGACCTTGCAGATCTCAAGCAAGGTGCGTGTGCCCTTGCGTGTGTGTGTCTGCATGCCTGCTTGTGTGTATGTGAATGTGTGTCAATATGTCTACACGCCTGCTCGTGTATGTCTGCCCCTTGTTTGCACCTGGGCAAGGAATTGAGGCACTTGCGTCAGCCGATGCAGCGCTCAAGTCCCGACTCACAAGTGATGGTCACCCGCGACTGCTCCCCCCTCCCCAGCCATCCAAGCCAAGTGCCCATACAAGATTGACATTGGTGCCGTGTACACAACAAAGGTGCGGTTGTTTCCTGTATGTTGTCCACAGCGGCTGTGGTGAGCCACGGCAACGGCCCCACCGCATGTTCACCGCCACCCACGCCCTGTACAGATTTGCCTCGGGCCTGCAACCCTCACCCTTGCGCATGCACGCCACCATCTACAGCCAAAGGACCACAAGAAGGTGAAGGCAAGCGAGTTCTACCCCGTGCAGAAGGAGCTGGTCTTCGATATTGATATGACCGATTACGATGAGATCCGCACATGCTGCAGGTGAGCCACTCGCTCGATCGAAACGCGCACGTGTGAGCGTCGTGGGGTTTTGAGGCCCAGCGTCATGCAACCTCCCCCCCCCACACACACACACGTTTCACTCACGGCACCATTTGCTCCATGTCCACGCAACCAGCGGTGCCGCCATCTGCCACAAGTGCTGGCCATTTATGACAGCCGCTCTCAAAGTCCTCGACAAAGCTCTCCGCGGTGCGTGTTTGTTTGTTTGTTTGTTTGTTTGTTTGTTTGTTTGTTTGTTTGTTTGTTTGTTTGTTTGTTTGTCTGTTTGTTTGTGTGTGTGTGTGTGTGTGTGTGTGTGTGTGTGTGTGTGTGTGAAGGGGCGGGCGCAGCTGCGGTTGTGGCTGAGGCCGTATTTGACTCTGCATAAAGTGGTGAGTGCAACGTGAAACTAGACCTTGTTACACTCCTCCACCGCTCATGGCTCGCCTCTGTTGTTTGTGTGCAGAGGACTTTGGGTTCCAGCACCTGCTGTGGGTGTACTCTGGTCGCCGCGGTATCCATTGTTGGGTGTGCGACGAACGTGCCCGCATGCTCACACAGGTCAGGGAATGCACACACACATGGCTTGTGCAGCGTGTCGATTGCTGTACTCTTGCTCCTCGTGCACGCAATTGTGCTTGTTTGTGTTTGTTTGTGTTTGTGTATTCATGTGTTTGTTTGTGTGCTTGCGTGCTTGGTCATACGTGTGCGTATATGTGCGTTTGACGTGCTGCGGTTCTTGTCCGACACTGCGCTGTATGTTCACGCTGCTGTCGTCCGTGATCGCGTCGTCAGGAGGGGCGGGGTGCCGTTGCGGAATACCTTCAGCTCGTATCCGTAAGTACGCACACATGCACATGCCAGACGCCCTGTGCGTGCGTGTGTGTGTGTCTGTCCGTCTGTCTGTGACTTCCTACGTACCTTGGTGTCATGAACGTCCTTTGCATTGCCCCATCAAAGCACATGAGCTGCACTCTTCCCGTCCGGCTCACATTACAACCTACTTACTTCTCCTCCTTCTCCACTCTCCGTATCCACACGTGGACGTGTCTGTCAACAGGGAAGCGACCAGATGGCATGCAAGGTGCACGTGCCACCATCGTACCCGGCCGCAACCCGCGCGTTTGATATCTACAGCCGTACTTCATTGTTGGGGTGTGCGACGAACGTGCCCGCATGCTCACACAGGTCAGGGAATGCACACACACATGGCTTGTGCAGCGTGTCGATTGCTGTACTCTTGCTCCTCGTGCACGCAATTGTGCTTGTTTGTGTTTGTTTGTGTTTGTGTATTCATGTGTTTGTTTGTGTGCTTGCGTGCTTGGTCATACGTGTGCGTATATGTGCGTTTGACGTGCTGCGGTTCTTGTCCGACACTGCGCTGTATGTTCACGCTGCTGTCGTCCGTGATCGCGTCGTCAGGAGGGGCGGGGTGCCGTTGCGGAATACCTTCAGCTCGTATCCGTAAGTACGCACACATGCACATGCCAGACGCCCTGTGCGTGCGTGTGTGTGTGTCTGTCCGTCTGTCTGTGACTTCCTACGTACCTTGGTGTCATGAACGTCCTTTGCATTGCCCCATCAAAGCACATGAGCTGCACTCTTCCCGTCCGGCTCACATTACAACCTACTTACTTCTCCTCCTTCTCCACTCTCCGTATCCACACGTGGACGTGTCTGTCAACAGGGAAGCGACCAGATGGCATGCAAGGTGCACGTGCCACCATCGTACCCGGCCGCCACCCGCGCGTTTGATATCCTCAAGCCGTACTTCCACTCCACCGTCCTCAGCGCTGATGGACAGGTCAGCACCAGCACAATAATGTCGATAACTGCGACTCATGACTTGAATGCATTGAGACGAAGCCACACACACACACACACTCACACACTCACTCACTCACACACACACACTCACACACTCACTCACTCACTCACACACTCACTCACTCGCCGCTGGTGGCGAGCAGGACCTGCTGAACCACGCCGAACAGCGGCGGGCACTGCTCGGCGTGTTTGAGGACAGCAGCATGACCGATGATCTCGAATCGAGATGGACC